CCAACGGCAACTGGTAGATGGCACAGCCATCGCGATTGCGCGAGCCCCTACCAGAAATTCGTTGCGCCGCCCTTGGGGGCAAAAAACGGTGAAAGCTAACGTACGAAATCAGAGGGCAGTACATGGTGCGATCGCGCGACCCTGCCCGTGAGCAATCTCCCAACTCATCTCTGAATGCACATATATGTCAGATATGAGAGATTGCTCACGACAGTGTCGCACGATCGCATCCTGTGCTGCCCTCTGGTTTCGTATGTCAGCTTTCACCATTTTTTACCCCCAAAGGCGGCGCAACGAATTTCTGGTAGGGGCTCATGCACTCGCGATGGCGGTGCCATGTACCAGTTGGCGGCTCACGTACTTGTGATGCTAATACCACGCGGCAATTAACGGCTTACCTACATTTATCGACACTGCTCGCTTTTAATGGTAAGGGAAGAACACTCGTGGCGCCCTCTTTGACTTTACCCTTCACTTACCTCATTTATTTTATCCGCAAATGATACAGGCAAAATTACAACGTGGGTGCTCGAGAGTTGAATTATACTTTATATACAATTTTTATAAGCTACGGAAATTAATAAAAAAATAATGAATGTTCCCTAACGAACACATGAAACCTAGATGGAACGAGATACCCAAAAACATAGCTTGACGTCATGTCGGTATGACATCAGATGTAAAGTACACACATTCACTGCCATCTAGAGTTGGGTAATTTCTCGTTTTTCGAGGTTTTTGACGTATATTAGGTATAAACATCCAAAACCAAGATTTCTGAACTTCGAACGGTTGGACAAGCCACAATGAATCGGGTAACCAGACTAATTTTTTGTGCATTCTGAAATTAATAAGAGTAACAACACAAATTACGGAAATAGAAAATCATCACAAGTAAGAAAGGAATCACAAATAAATGGGACACAAATTCACTAGATATTTTTAAATTACTGTAACATTCTCGGTTATGTTGCTCAAATTTAAAAACACTAGGCATCAATCATCGAAAACGGGCAGGGCACTCAGCACTAAGCCTGCAGTGACATCATTTTCATACACAGATCCCTGTAAAACTTGCACAGCTACCTGTACGGCTCCATCAAACAATTCTGCAGGAAAACAAGTACTATTTGAAGCGAGATTTGCAGCAATACTCGCCTCTGTATACCCGTCTTTCCCTCCTGTATATTAAATGCCATTGACCAACTCATGCGATCGCTCTCTCATCTCCACTCCTAGTTTACTAATCAACTAGAGCATCGAGCACTAATACAGGATCTAGGCTTTTATGAAACTTCTAAATCCTTTGATCAAAACCCTGTAGGTAAAGGAAGGATCGGATATTGAGGTAAAAAGCTGAAAACATCATACTGGGGGCACAGAAAACGCATTATGTCACATGTAATAACAAACAAATTACATTTATATAACTTGTATAATTTATTTGTAGGAAATATAAACGTTAATTAGATTTAAAAATGTTCGCATTGTTCTTGCAACAATGTAGGTGTGTTATAAATAGAATAAAATAATTCTAATTCCATCCTGTACAACCAGGAATAACAGACGTTAATACAGACAATATAAATATAACGATCACATTGTCAGTTCTTACGTTTCATGGTTTGAATTCTAGTCTGCTTAGTAGTAAGGCACAAAGCTTAATGAACATGTTTACATTCATAACACGTCATAATTGCAAGATTTTGATACAAACGATCAATCAAGATGATATGATCATAGATTACAGAGCAATCACAAAATATCTCAATTATAATGGTTTCAATTTCCAAGTATATGCTGTTTCAGCACTTCTTGTTAATGCTCCTAATTAACTTAATCACTTTTAATTCCGTTCGCGCGGTTACCATCAATCGTATAATATGCGTAGACTTATTTCTATTTGGAGTTTCCGTTCATAAGCCTTTTGATTTATTATTATCTATTTTTGTATATTGTTCCTATCTGTTTCTCATGATATTCGACTGAGCATCAACTAATGCACCACTGAAAAATCAGTCGTCTTACAGCCTACAATTCGACATTCAAGCACAGTTTTTTTTCGTCGATATATTAATATTAAACAACCACTAGAGTTCCGTTCAAATAACACATACGAACTGGATAAACAATACTACTCTCAAAAAACGTGTTTGCTCCCGCAAGATTCAACAGGACTTGTAGAATTGTTTGATACAATTCTTTGAAAAGGTTTTGAAGGCACTATGTGACTACTTTTTGCAATATTCGTAAGAGTTTTAGGCTTTGGGGGAAGAGGTGGTGGCTTCAACAATTTCATTGGCGATACAGTGTATTGTGTATCAAACATAGGTCCATCCGAAAGCTTTAGTTGTGATCGAGAATTATTTTCAAGAATTGTTTGATCACCGTCCACCAAAGTCCCATCCAATGTATTTGATATATCAAAACATTTGTTATCTACTTTCTCGTTAATTTCGGGATTTGACGATTGGTCGACAGTGCTTCCATTTGATAGACATGTTCCGCGATCATGCACTCCAGGAATAATGGATTTATCTTCGCCGATGTCATAAAATCTTGTAGTTCCTTCACAATTGGCAGAAGCAGCACGTGGTCTTCTAATTTTTTTACCGTTTACATGCTTTCCACTTTCTTTGTTCTGGTGTAAAATTTAATTATTTAATATTTAAAGGTATATATAAATTCATCACATTGACAATTTACTTTAAAGTTATATTTACCTTTAAAAAATCAGGAAGCTCAAAGTTGATTTCAGTTCCTCTCTGATCTTCCAGTCTAGAACGCTGCGCGCGTTTCAAACCTTCGTATAGATCTGAAGAAACAAAAAATGTATTGCTTCAACTTAATATGTGACATTACTACTTGTAAGTAGTATAAATAAAACTGTATAATTGGATCCCGTTCAAGATAAATTATAAAGAATATTAATATAATCAAGTGGACAGAGATAAAAAAACATAAAATATAGATAATTATTTATACCTCTGCATTAATCCAAGTACCATGTCGCCCACTCTTTGAATTCAAAGTATTTATTATATTTTGAAAAATTGTAATTATCCTCACCTTCCCCGTCATATCTGCCTGGAAGCTGCAACTTTACACCGTTTCGCCACTTAGCAATAAGAGGAGGATGAGGTCGAGAAGTATCTGCTCCTGTGCAATCGGCAGAATGGCCCTTTTCACTATTATTACTACATTTTGACTTGCCCTAAAAATATAGCACAGAAAATTTAAATTGTTACCAATAACGATGCGTTTCATCTTACAAAAAGAAGATAATGTTATTTGCAGTATACCTTCTTTTTTCCATGAATTGTAGAGTCTCTCAAAAAGAATTTACTTGAACGAATCGATGATCCTTCCGAGCGCTGATCATCGGACTGAAAAATATTTTGTTCACTTTTGTTACTTATGATTAATTTAATATATATTATGATACATCAGAGAGAAGGGAACGAAATCCAGAAAAATGTGTATAACAAGATATAATGATACAATTCAATTAAATATACCTCGCACATTCATATGAAATGTTCTGAGAAAGTATACTCGTTGTAGGCGTTTATGTTTAAAGTCAAAAAATGATTTATAACAGAAAAGATATATTTGATAACCCCTCAACCCTTTGAGTATCTTATTTATATGCTATAAAATATGTTCTTTTACTATATAATGGATATATAGCCAAAATAATCCTATTCTGTCATTTTATTCCTATATAAATATGTATCTCAGCGAGGAGTAAAGCCAGTATATACTTTCTACAAAGACGTATTTTACGTCAAGAATTATTCAGAATCTTGTTATCAACTGAGCGGTATTCATCTAAGACTCGTTCAAAAACTGAGTGTTGATTAAACAAAATATACTTCCATAGGAACTCTAGAACCAACACAGTGTCAATACCTACCTATGGCAGGTATTGCTAGTTTATCGTTTAAACTTTACATTAATGTAATATAATAAATTTAAATAATATATTACGTCACTGTACCTTGCAAGATCCTTCACTGTAATGATACTTGTCTGCGCTTTTTCCAACTAATAATTCCTCGAATACTTTATTAGCAATTTCCTCGAGTGACGGTTGCCCCTGTGGGATATCATCCGTATATTTCAGTGTTGAAACATCCCTTTGGAAATCTACAATAAGCACACAAAGTTTCATGTAGATTACAAACTATCCGTTAAATATAATAACAAAAGAGGATGAAAAACTATATCTAGTATTACCTTCGTTATTTGACGTGAGTACAAGTCTTGCAGGTGCACTAATTGCAGGAATGTCCATAGAAAGCGGATGTCCTTCACCCCAAATAGTGACGAGCTCTAATTTGAATCCGTATTTATTTAATAAAGGTCTCAACACTTCCCTTAATGTCCGACCTTTGTGAGCGATTACTGTAATAATTCTACGCGATGGCAAGTCCAGTTTCAATACTTTTGTCGGCACTACCTCCACTTCTTGACCTGCTAATACTGAAGACGGATACTTCAGGTTTACCATCTGCAAAATAGAAGAGGTCATAAATTAGGGATACAACCATCGTCACACAATTAACAATTGACAATATTCCTCTTTCACAAATTGCTCATTACAATCCAATGCTAGAATCCGTGAAAATCACTCATTTATTCTTTGATCATGTTCAAAGTTATAACACATTAAGTTATACAGTTTTGCATTTAACGTTTTGTCATCTACGTACGCATATATTAACACATTTTATAATCTATTCGTCTTCCACGGCTCCAGCATTGATGTATTTGCCTTTTCTTACGAGAATGCAAGTAGACAAAGATCATAAAGAGCAGCTTGTGACAGTAATGAACGTGCAAATGTCTTAAATAAGTATGCACCAACTCGCAGCCATGAAATCGTTACAACACCCAGCCATTAGAAAAATGACAGCAATGTTATAAATGCACCGTTCACAACAGCAATGCAAGCAATATATCAAGACTGTGAATACTTTAAAGTAAATTATTTGGACCCAGTATACGAAACCATGCTGATATTTATTGCGCTCTTTATTCTTCTCCGAAACAAAGCTCCCACTGTTTAATCCTAATCCACAAAGAAGCAATTTGTGCAGCCACTCAATAAAAACTTGATTAAAGCCGAAATAGCCAGGTCAGCCATATTGAATTGTGACGTCAGAGGCGAAGAAATTGCGTAATTTCCCAGCTGATATTCTGCAATGCAAATGACACTTTCCAACGTAGATCAGCATACAAATAAACTAGGTATTCACAAGATGTGTCAGCCGGTGAATTTATATAGGATCGTCTGCTATGAAACGAAATATCAATTTCCAGAAATCAGCCCGTTGACAGGATCACGATTCCGAAGCGATAATCGGACAATGAATACAATGTCAATGCAAACACAAACCAGCTGATACTTTTTACACATCCACATTTCGGCGAATACGTAAAAAAAAATGTAGCCGAATGATGACTAGGAATTTCACGCAATTTCCTCGCCTCGGGCGTCATAAATCAATTTAACCGAATCGGGCGTTAAACGGCAATATATTGCGTGCAACAATCCTGACCATTTTAGCAAAGTTACTCGTATCAGCCAAACAATCGTTTCCCAATAGTGTTAGTTGGATTACTCTTTCCCTGTTTTCGTTAATTAAGGTAAAGGTAACACTAACCTCGTCGGTGGCTAATACAAGTACGTCATAGTTAGAGTACCGAAGAGCTCGCTTATCGAGGAGCCGAGTAACCACGTCTTTAATGCTCTCCGTTTGGTTAGTCGGGACGACAGTGGTGGACCCGTCGGGCAATATTACTCGACACAACCCGGTACATTTGGCCTGAACTTCTTTCTTTTCATTTGACTGCCCTTCGCAAGACGATACGGACTACAATTTATAGAGACTGGCTGATATAAATGCATTACACTGGCACTCTAAGGCCTGTACCCAGGCAATACTAATTCTACTCTTCTATAATGTACTTTGTCGAAAATTATTTATCAAATGGCGCACATTGTGTAATTCAATAAATAAAGCGAAAGGTTTTAATACTATCGTTTCGCTTTAAATATTGTGATATAACGTTTAATTAATTATCCTTACAGCTCCAAGTTCCAATTAGATCATTAAATACTGATATTACCTAAATTTAACTAAGTCAGGGAAGTAATTTACAACCTAGGGGCCCTGACTTTCAGTAGAAAATTGAAAGTCAGACATACTTGTAGAAAAATCAATCAGACCTTCATCCAGACTGTTAATAATTATTCCATTCAGAGTAAGTTAACATTATTTTCACGAAGAAATGAAAAACGTGCACGTAAAAACAACCTCTTCAAAGATAAATTCATCATTCCTATAAAGATATCTTTTTCATTGATTACATTAGCAAGCAATCTATATAAAATTTCAACATCCTCTGTTAAAATCACTTCAATCAATGTCAAATAAAACGTTGACTTAATTTCTTGCTACATCATCTACTCCATGCGGTAATGAAATTTACACCAGACAATTTTCAATTTTACTCGAAATTGAATTATCACGTTTCAACAAGACTTTCTTTTTAATTGTGTAGTCAACTCACACACAATCCCTTACTTTTACTCTCAAAGCTCACAAAATGGCACCGTCATTTACTCAAAATGTACAGTACGTGTCTTGCAACCAAATCAATTTCACAATTTACCAAGCTAGAACGGCAACGCCGCGTTTGAATTGCAAGTAGAATGCTTACGTGCTTGTTAAACGATTGTCTCAATGCCAGATCCCATGATGCTAATGACGACCTGCTGCTCGATATAGATATACTGTCCTCGTTATTATTACCCTCTGCTTCCCTTTTAATGGTCGTAAAGCTCTTGTATATAGTTTCACTGCGGCTGGGAGTCTTGTTATATTCTGATTCGCCCCGGTCTTTCGATTTCGATCTGAAATCAGGTAAAAATGAAAACGTGCGTGAAAAAAAAATTAGGCTGTTGCAATTAATTATATATACATGATATTTTAAACAGACGTTAGAAGTGGAAGAAAATTAGATTCGATGAAACCTACCTATTTTTTCTGTGCCAAGGAAGAATAGATTTCCGGCACCGATCTTCAGCGTCCGAGTGGCTTTTCTTTAATTTGACACTCGGTGAACTGGTCAAACTTAAATCTCCATCTTCCGTACTGACAACAGTATTTCCAGTTTCCAAGCAAATGCGATAGAGGTCCGACCTTAAGAACCTGGGGTAACTGTCGAATTTCATCAAGTTGAATACCTGCTTTTGAGCCTGAAAAATGTTAATGCAAGTAAGTTAATCTACTTGACCACGGCGTAGAATAAATATACACAAGTGAACTTTAAAAATTTTATTAAAAATGCAACACTAAATATTAAAAATCTGGCTGGGCATTCTTATTCGTTATCTTTTCTTTACATATCAATATATGCATAATTAATCATAGATTACAATTTCTTAAGATTTACTGTAAAGCTGATATTTTCAGCTAATGTAAACTAGATATTTACATCAATCGATTTGCAAAAAAAAACTATTGGTCACGGACACAGATCTCTCAACTACCTAGTTCTGCCGAACCTGTTATTAGAAATGTTAATCTCATCTCTAAGTAATTTTGCGAAAATCGACCATGCAAATTTAATACATGCTTATCCTAAATGAAGTTAAACCAACATAACACCAGTTGAAGTGCAACGGGTGTTATTAAGGCAGTCTCGAGCATTGTGCCTGTAAATGATCTATCTAGGAAATTTCTAACACCTGGAAGTAATGTCCGCCTGTAAAGTCGCCAAAAGCATACCTGTAAAAAAAGATTAGCAGGAGCTGCATCGAGAAGTTCTTGAGTGATTTGTCCCGAGGCGTGACTATCCACATTAACAGGTTCTGCCGCGTTGGTCGACAGATGTCGTTGATATATTTGCCATGCCAATCGACGACGACTGACCACGTCTTCGGTATCCTTGTAACGTTCACAAGCTGCCCAGAAGTATATATTCTCGTGACTGAACTCCTTCTTCAAAAATTCCTGCGAAGAAAAGATTTTGTCAACCTTTCCGGTGCAGGAAATAACAAAAGCATGCTGACATTTTGAATGAATTTCCCGTAACTCTGTCCACAATACATAGAGAACCGTGAAAGTCTAATAATAAGTAAAATTTAAACAAAAAAAGAAGAGACGGTAAGGTCACCGATACCAAGAATAAAGAAAAGACGAGAACTATGGCTTCCATTTTGTGGTTTAACAGGTAAACGCCATGGTGTAAGTTATAGTGCTTCTTTACTTTCATGAAATACCATGCCTGCAGTCGTGAATCAACATAATTAACCATCCCATATTACAGTACCATATTTTAAAAATAACGTCGACATTTTATTGCGAGAAGTATCTACTTTAACTCTACAATCAGAAGTACACCAGAATGCCATTATTCCAAAAATACAATTATAGAATGACAATAAAAAAAATATCTCCTGTAAATGTTGACACATCCCTTTGGAGAAAAGCAAATAGGATTTCTGCGTGCAGTTTCGAAGACTTTTTACGTCACTTCCGACATGAAACGAAATAACCCTTCGTGTTTCAATTACTACAGTAATTGCGATAACACCGAATGACGCAGTCAAGAAGTTAGACATAGCAATATAGTGTATGGGAAATGGAAACTTATTTAACACTCATGAACATGTTACATAAAGTATCGCTATTCCATATCAAGCGGATAATCGTTGAGTCTAAATATAAGCTTAATTTTCATCTTGCGCTTTCCAAACGATTAAACGTAAAATTGAATGAAACAATTAAACGCTTATGAGGAGTGCACCGTCTCCTATAATACCAATAACTCTTTTACACTTAATCCTATTCTTAAAACCAATCTATCTGTGCGGGTACCTAATTTTCTAAGTCTTTTGAGCGCAACATTAATATAAATCCATACTAACCGCAAATGTTTGAAGTCCTTTCGGATCCTCCAGGAGTTTCTCGAATCCTGATGCCCATGTATGTACCCCGGTACAGTTTACAGTCTTGTCGCATGATTCTATACTTCCATGCTGAAAATAAATAATTTCATAGTAATAAAGTGAGTCCTATAGAGTAGGAAATAAAAAATTGGATGTTATCTGCATAAAAATAGAAATAAAAAAAAACGGAAACTAGATCGTTTATCATTCACTCGGGTGAGATGCTTCTGTACAGAAACATTAAACCAATACCTAGCTTAACATCACGGGACGACAATTGCATCCCTTAAAACAGTTTCTCAGCAGATAAGTACACGGGTTATTTCGATATCTATGCTTTGTAATACAACAAAAAATAACATGTAATGGCAGAGGATAAAGTAACCGTTCTTGTCAGCTGGAGATTTAAAACTAGGCCACGTAAATTCCGAACATCGTATGACATTTCGCTAGCGACATCGTTTTTTCCCACCCATTTCCGTTACGACGTTCTCCTTAATGCGATAACGGCTCTTCTTCCTAACCGCATCGTAAGACAATGAAAGCTGACTCGTTCGTATTGTTGACTTGTTTAGACCCAGCTCAACAGCGACGAGGAATTTTAAAATGTATCGGACATTCGCATAAATAATGCACCTACGCTTAGAAATAAAAAAAAAAATAAGTGAACCTACTTCAACAGAGAACACGATTCTACTTGAAGATGGCTCATTATGTAACACCCACGTAACTTGTTCCTTCCGAAGCAAAATTGACAGGTAGTACAGTATTTTTAAAATCATTTCTTTAATAACAAAACTTCATAGTGATTTTTACATTCTACGTCATTTTTTAATATTCATTCTTTAATGCTTAACGTTACATTTGGGCATTTTTTGCATTAAAATGTTCCTTCTTTACCTTTTTAATGTACAATCTCGCAGTGATATTAAAATCATTATAATAAGATAAGAGTGATCGTTATCCGACATGAACTGAATGCAGTACATCGGAATCAGAATTAAGGGATTAGGTTCAATTACATTTTTTTTTTTTTTTTTTCTGCGCGTAGTTTACTAAGTGTTCAACGCTGACGGCGGATTTACAAGTATGAATGAGAGAATCCGACAAGGAGGTACGTGACGTGCGGTACATTTCACACAGTGCGGTGCCCTGTTACCGACCCGGTCAACGCAAGCGTGGGAACCAGTGGACCTGCTTCCTACGCCGTGAATTCCACTCCCTCTGACGAATAAGATACTTTTCTCCTATAACTCCGAGATCAATGTCGATCTTGTCTTACATTTACTCTACACCACCACCTCGGGCGGAGATCAAAACATTTCAAGGATAGCATATCATTTCAAAGAACTCCGACGAAACTTCAGCTTAACAGCTTTATTTTATTATACAAGATAAGGTACTGTATCTATCCAAGCAAGAGAGTATTATACAAACAATAAGAATGTCTTCATCTACCGCAAAGATCAACAGTCGAAACTACTGCAGTTAAATGGTGCTAATTCTGGATAATGCGCATATAATAATCATTTTTACATTTTTAAAAATGATTAAGAATATTTTCAAATTGATACCCAGATAGAAAACGGGAACGAGTTGCTTGAAAAAAACATTGTTCTTATTCATTTTCACTGTCACTAGTTTTATCTAATTACTAACTGCGTAGGAACATCTCTCTCTTTTATTTTTCAGTGTCATCTCTGCATGGTTTAATGCAGAATAATAGATCCACGCCAATTATCCTCGCTCAGACGCTTTCGTTGACGCATCTCTTGAATTTCGTGGCAATCTTATCTTTCTTTCGCTTTTTTCTGTCTGAATATTCGCGTCGCCTTTTTGTTCCGTATTAATCCTTGCATTCATAATAACGTAAGAAATTACTGTTGCTTATGAGGGAAAGAAGAGTTTCTAAGTACCAAGAAAAATGCATTTAAAATGCCCAATATTGGATACTTTAGTGTTAGGAAACAATTCGTCACATCGTGCGCATGTGGTGGAATAATGACGTTTTAATGTTTGGTAAACTGAATTTTTGTGTTCATTGTTGCCTTACAATCCTGAATACATTTGCAAGAAATCATTTCTAATAATTCTTAAGGCATCAAGCTTTACGTTGCCACAATTCTCCCAAGATTAATCCTTAGATTTATCCATCCCCCATACTTCCGGGTTCTTATTATTCCCTAACCATTGTTCATCTTGTTGAAAGAGTAAAAGAATGTTGTCAAGCAGCTTCTAGAGTAGGAGGAAACAGCGCGAGGTTAAACGTGCTTTGTCTTGGGAACATTACGAAATGAGCTTACTTAAATGTACTTCAACTCGAGAAATAATCGATACACTTTGCTTCGAACCTGCAACGATAATATATAAATATCATTTCAGATTAATTCTGTTAGCCTTTTACGTCAAATCAACAAAGAATTGTTAACTGAGACAAAAATGATCTCTACAACAGCCTTGCAGCAAAGTGACGGCTACGTATAATCCCCATCTAAAATGGAAAACATAGGATATACTCTTTTTTATATTATAAGAAATTTATTTATAAACGTTTTAACGAAACTACAATACTATAAAACGGTGTAGCAAAAAGAATAAATTACAAAATAACGGTGTTCTTGCAATTAATTGAAAATTAAAGCGTTAAGGGCACGGCTCAGAGATCTCACATTCTGAGTCACATTTCACGCCAACGTGTACCCCTCTTTGCCTTTTTTCAATTCCAACTTGAAAATCCAGACACGAATAAGCACCTTCTTTGTTCACAGGGTCAGCGATGAGTACAAAGGTTTTTCCATTACACTCTAATAACGTGCTAACTCCAAACGAAATTTAATATAAATTCTCTTCCGTTAAAAGCAATGCATTCACATAAATGCAAATGGAACTTCACTCAACAGATACGCATAAAATATACGCCTCTTGCAATCCAGATGAATAATTTAGTCAACGATATATCTTGGCGAAATATCAAATATTACTGAACCACAACAAAGGGAGTAACAGAAATTTTTTTAATGTCCATGAAGATATTTAGTATAAAGAAATATTAATATTAATGTAGAGGTACTAGATGCTTGAACATTTAACAATCAGTATTAACGTAATAACCATGATACGCGTATGTGCATTTGACTATATGACAACATACATAAGATGCAATAATTTAAGATATTAAAAATCCCTTCCCTCCTCTCCGACCGTGTTTAATTCAATGAAATGTACCCTCTCTTTCTCCTCTAACATATTCGCATCCCAGACATTTCTGAGTAAAGAAAAAATCAAATAAAATGTCCTTGAATACCCTGCAGAGCAAGTTCACTTTCTGACCAGGTCACGGACGCCGATTACGAAAGCGTTTCAAGAATACTTGTTTGACAGGAAACGGACCTTCTCTATTTGGAATTCCCGTAGCTAAAGCATTTCTCCCGAGGTAATCAGAATTGCTAAATAGTAGGTTTATCCTTATTAATTTCTACGCCGACCGCTGAGGTCATTAACTTGGATTAATTCCTTTTAATTATCCCGCTTCTCCCCCTGTTACTCGAGTTTCCTTCATCTCTAGCATTCCAGGAAGCTGTCAAGCGATCTTGAATCATACGAATCTTGTCAAGCACGAGGTCGAGTGACGTCACGTCACATTTGGCAGACACGTTCGTGCCTTCGAGCTCGTGTTTACGTGCTCTTGCAGGCGTAGTCGAAAAGAAAAAAAAAACTCTAAATAATTGCGATAAAAAGTAAGCAAAGTGAATAAGGAAACACGGAGGATGGATAGAGTAAAAATTATTGTCAGATTACATGTATCCCGTCCCCTCGCGTTCAAGTTTCACTCTACGTAGCAATGAACCCACTTCCTTTAGTTAATGAGACTCCTCGACGAGAATAAACGTACAACCGGAGGCTTCGATTTTATCTTAATCAATTTTGGCGCTACAAAACTGCAACGCGAGTTACGAAGAGCTTGAAATAAACACGTTCTGTCTCTGACTTTCAAAGCCTCTCGTTGGTAACAGAGCGATATCATTCGACAAAGCGTTATCAATCGACAAACCGACGATGTTGAATTATGAGCTTTGCCAGCAGGTGAACTTAAACATCGAAGTTTATCTCGTTGACATTGCAATAAAAGACATGTATGTATACACGGTCCCAGAATGATTACCCAATGAACACGAAGTAATGGAATACACGTTTAAAAGTAGGATACAATTGTTAATCGTTAATCGTACAAAGTCTATTGCAAATGAAACGTGTTTCTCACGTTACAATGCCTGTCCTTTCCGCGTAAAATCAACGTTGATGTTGCATTTATTTTTAATTTATTAGTATGTTGTACGTCTCGACACGTTTAGAAAATACTTGGAATAAGCTAAATTGACAAACGTCTTTGAAATATTACAACCCGACCGTAACAAAATCCTTCATAAACGTTAATTAAACTTTTAATTAACGTAAAAACGGTAAGTTAAAGTACACGTTTCTTCTCTACTAGAAAGACACACATCGGATACCTAACACGCAAATTCAACGTTTCTTATAAACATGTATTTACCGTAATAAACAAAAAAAAAACCATACGTGATTAACGTTTATTTTTTCACCTACCCACTGGAGCCAAGTTTTGTCAAATTCAGACATGACCTTGAAATGAAGTTGGTCAAGTAGAATTAATGACTCGTTTGTTAACTAATCGCTGACATACAATTTAATTTTAAACTTTATTTCCAACCGCGAAGTATTTCGGCAATGCTTTAAACATGTTGATAATAAAAGCGCGCATTTGCTTCAGAGATACAGCAAACTTTTTTTATTTTAACTCGGATAATATTCCCATTATAAGTGAGAAAATATTCCAACGATCACTGATATATCCTCAATGCATTTTATAAATTGCTCAGTAAATAATCATTAAATAGTGGATGATACATATATTCCGATACCGTAAATAAATTATTGTTACAATTACAGAGATATTATCATCCACTAGAATCATAAGTCCAATGATTTACGATGAAAAGTCCCCGTTTTAATCAAGCCTGTATAAACAATGTGTTATTCTCCAGTGACCTTGTTTAAGTTTTAATGCATAA